AAGAAAATTTCAATTACATTAATACGTAATCACGAGCGAAGTGATAAGTCAAAATAAACTGTCCGACGTTATGCTCATGTCATACCATCACATACTATGTCATCAGAAATATCATTCAGGAATAAACAACCTCAAATAAGGTTTGAAGAGATTCACATAGGTGTTTCATAAAATTCACTCAAACAGAAAAATAAACTGTTTGACAAGGTATTATATTAATGCTGATGCTAACAATTTACAGGTATTTTTTAAACCTTTATGAATATCAAGAGATAATGAGGATAAATTAAAATATCATCTTTGCAATATCCCAAACAGAGATTCTGTTATTTCATTGTAATCAGTGACGCTACAAAGCAGAACGAATGTAAGGAGACGCTTCTTTTTCTTCAAATAATAAAGTTTTTAAATAATACATCGTCGTTTATAGGATGCGTTCAATCATATTTTGTATTTCATAAGTTTAAAAACCGAACGACATCATTCAAAGCATCAACCATAATATATCAACATACAACCACCACATGCCTCAGAGATACACAGCTCTCCAAAATTTCTCCATTAGCTAGGCTTGTTAACTGATGAACAGAAAACAAACCCCTCTCCTCTCTCAAATCTTCAATTCTGGCTAGGAGTCACGATCAATAAAACCGATTATAACATTGATTAGTAAGCATAACACGAAGACTATTTTTTTTTTCATTTCATTCCGAGGTTGCAGACAAATAAAATCACCGAATATAACTGACTTGATAAGTACACATTTTGGCGAGAATTACATTTATATGATGGATATTCACAACGTCAAATCAATATATTCAAAAAACTTTCATCTACGGTAAATTAATAGCGTACGATAATTCAAATAANGCAGACAAATAAAATCACCGAATATAACTGACTTGATAAGTACACATTTTGGCGAGAATTACATTTATAAGATGAATATTCACAACGTCAAATCAATACATTCAAAAAACTTTCATCCGCGGTAAATTAATAGCGTACGATAATTCAAATAATTAATCAATTGCAATACTTAAATTTTCAAGTAACGATGTTCATTTCAATTTCCAAAATTCGATGAAGTTGTTACGTTTGAAGAGAATTCACCACGAAAACATTTTACATCTTGATGAATGGATTCCATTCGGAAATTGTTATTATAAAACNATGACGTTTTGAATATGGTTGAAAGACATCGACATATACTGACGCACTGATGCCGGTACAGACAAATGACACAGTTGCAATACTATTGGTAAGATGTTAACTTTCATTATATCTATTTAATTGCCATTTATTATGATAGAAATACTGATTTAAATTGATCCGATTCGATTTCATCTCGGACAGTAAAACATCCCTCGTCACTGGAAAATGAAACAGATATGAAAGTATTCATTCACATTTCCAATTAAATTGATCCTCTTGCCTTCGTCGAAATTTTTGAAAATCTAATGGTGAACTCGTCGCCCAAAAGAGAACAAATTAATTTGGTACATATTTTTACCGAAACTTAATATGACACAACTGACGAAAGTGTTAGTGGTTTAGTAACTGGTGAATGATGAATTATTAACGACTCGTAATTTCAGCTGCTCATATACTTCAGCCATGCGGATTTTCATTTTAGCAACCATTGACGATGGCACGCAAAACGAAACACGTTCGAAATCAGATGGAGGTCCACTGAAAATCAGAAACTTTAACATTGAGCAATAGTCGTTCACAGCATTTTGTCACCCCAAAACAGTTTGATTTAGCAAAACGGAAATCAAAACTTGCGATATAAATTTTGGTGAACCACTTTTAAACGCAACTATAGTGGAAATTAAAAATTGCCTACGAATTCAGAAGAAATGCAAGAACGGAATGTTCAGTGTTGAAATATTTACATTTAAATAGTCACAACTGTTGGTTCAGTTAATAACAACTCTTAGCACTCTCCTAGACAGTTTCGATGCAGTCGAGTACGCTCCCACGAAAAGAATATAGATGGAAGTTTGATATTATCCTTATCATCATCACAATGAATTATTAAACGACAAAAATTAAAAGATACACATAATTCTCAAGAATTGCAATTTCGAGCACATCATCAAGTATCATCACAAATATTTTTCCAGAAAGACGTGTCGTCAGACGGTTTTCAATTAGCCATGCACGATCCTCTTCATCTCCAACGTACTGAAATCGTTCACATAATCAATCATATCATACTCACAACCTTTTTCCAGTTTAAGTGCAAAGTTTTCGGCAAGATATTGAAATTAATAACATGGATAATAATACTAATAATAACGATAATAATAATAACAATAATAATAATACGAACACGAAAGATACGCGGGTATTTCATATATAAATTTCCACGTTGAGCAGCTGCCAATAGACGTGACACCTTTGAACCGAGAATGAATCGGGTCGACGGACTGATACGACCAGCATCCCACTTAAATTCAGTTTTCTACCATGAATATCAAACAAATTGCTTGCAAAACACGATTCGCTCCGTAGTATATAAACATTGCTCGACTGCATCAAGCCGAAACAGTTAAATAAAAACATAGTTACCGATAAGATCGCATACCGGTAAACACAACGAACGATATACACAATATGATACATAGCACAATCGGAAATTATCAACCTGTTGTTAAAACACTCAAATAAAGAATTCAAACGAAGAAACCTTTTCAGCTTCCCTTGCCGAGATTGCATCATTCGACCGCATAATTGGTGTTCCACTTCGACCGCAATCCATGTCTGTCTGAAATTAAATACAATAAAAACAAATCCTGATACTTTATCATTGCTGTCCAACCATAGGATAGTGCTTGCTTATGCATGAGATGCCATCGAAAAGTGCAAAAAATAGGAGGTCATTCGCAACAGCTAATACTGTAACTTTAAATGGAAATGAATAAAAAGGATGAACCTTGCGAGGTCTCCCCCTTTTGCGTCCTCGAATTGATGAAGGATTAGCGATGGACTGTGACTGGAGTTGCTGATGAGGTACTATACTCATTACGCTCGCCTCACTTTCAACATCCGAATCGAATCCGTGACAGCTGAACACAATCGCCTTATTTCTATTTAAAATCGCTTTTCATCATCACAAAACAATGAACAATATTAATCATCAACCTTGGTGGATCGAATTCTTTAATCATTGGGTCGATATTTTCAACAGGGAGGTAGGGTGTTTTGGCTGCTTCGAGAATGTTTCGACACAGCTCTTTAATGTCCTCATCCGATACTTCCTATAATAGTAGACTCATTCCAGCACATTTGGTGATTAGCATAAAATCGTAAGCCGCTGTCATTAACAACTGTGACTCTCATGAATCATTTTCAAAAAGTTTGAGGGCTGAAATTGATAGACGTACAGTGACGACTTCAAAAAGTTGAAGAGGCTTCAGAAACATAACGATTACTCACATGTCCATTGCGTCGAAGATTTTCGAATGCTGGAGAAAATGTAGTTCGCACGTGTCGATCTAATATTTGACGAAATTCTTCGGTCATTTCGGATTGAAAAACCTCAAAAGAAATATTTTGGCATAACTGGTTGTGACGATTGATTCAGCAAAATACTCGCGAAGAGCGGACTTATAAAAATTTAAGCAAAGGAATTCCCGAAGAAAACATTGCCAATTTCATAACTCGAACATTTGCAGTTATCAATTCTGCAGCGGTCGTTACAAAATGTCAACTAACTAAGAAAGCAAATATCTAATCATAAGAAAACAATCACAAAACGAACGTACTCGTCGCATCAGATCAAGCGATTTCGTCGTATTTTCAGCCATATCAGTTTTATTTCGCCGAATTGTTTGTTTCAAAGAATTAATCTTAGCATTGCTACCTTCACCCATAGATTCCAATAATCCGTCCAAAATTTCGACCCTTAGATTCATCTTATTTCCATTCCCATTTCCTGTACCTCCACGTTCAAACATCTCTTTCCAATTCTTCCTCTCTCTTCCTTTCTCTTGAAACACCTGTAAGTATTTATCACACAATCCGTATGAGAAAAATAATTTTATCTATTGAGAACATATCAAAACAAGAAATTTCTGTCGGAGCACAAATTTGACTTCAACGAAAATGTTTAAAAACAAGAGCAGAAACCCGTCCGAATACGTCACATTTTGCAAATCTAGGCTCTAATCACCTCTCAAAACCGGTCCTCGCATATTTTTTTTTCACATCATTAGCAAAGCAAATAACAAATTGCACAAGAAAAACAACAAACGAAAAACGAGTCTGATGTCATAGTGATAGTCGAGGTATACAAACACTTCGCCAAGAACGAACGGACCGACAGTTCACCAAGTGACGGAAGTGGGATTTTCATTTGATATATGTTCAGAAATGTGAATTTCTTACCTATTCAACGAGAATAAATCCGGGCAAATCATATATCGTTTTGTAGCACAGATCCAGGATAACAAAATATATTTGGTATATTCGTCAGTGATCGACATATGTTCGAGATTTTCGATTTAGCGCTAAGGGCAAAAATGTAACAGATACTTTCAATTGGTACCCACCCGACAGGAAAAATTTTAAATCATGATAAATACTATTTTATAGCCGAAATTGAGTACTACAGAAATCTTTTTTTAATTTTATCGCCAATTATTAAGTTAAGAGAGTTATGACGCTCGGCGTGAGCAATGGTGATGTTCAGTGGTCACAACTGGCATGCTTAGTGAAGAAATTGAAATTCTCTCTATTGCGAATATAAAAATTAGGCGGAATGTTGTACAGCATGTTGTAGCCGAGACTGAGTAATACAGAAATCATATTTAAATGTTGCCGTCAATTGTTAATTCTGCCTCTATGAGGAGATATAGCTATTGTACTGATGCTATAGGGGTTACCACATTTAAGCCTACCGTACTATCAGCTTTGACCAGTAAAATATCAATTTCTTCACATCAATCGATCGAGCAGAATCTCTGGATCCGAAAAAAATATATTTTGTCGGGCTCTGGTTAGTTGAGGAGATGTAGCTATTTTATTATTGATGATTTTCTGATGTCATTTTCTGATTCAAGCAATTCATTCATTGATCGACATTGCAACGGAATGGTGTAATTTTCCGCAGTAAGTGTTATCGACCGTCATGTTCAGCACTTTTTTATAGCCCCCATGTCGTGTTTGGAACGACATGGGATAACAGTTACGAGAACGATAACTGATTAGTATTATAAATAGCAGTGGTGTTATCAGTAATGCCATCAACAGATATTTCTTTTTTATGTTTATGTTTAGAACTGTATACGTTTATAAACCGTTTATTAATAATGAGATGGATCGAATGGATTATTGACTTGGGTAATTTTGTATTTTAGGTTGGTAAAATCAAAACGCATTTCGTTCACATTCGCAGTTACTTATCGTTAGTTAGAGCACAGCAAGAGATGTTCGCACGAACGAAAGTTTGAATTCCTTGAAAACTGTGCATTTCGAAAGGATATAGCAAGTCATACTTGGGAGGTTGTTTGGATTCTTTGGACACTGAGCGGTTGGTTTGCTGATCGCTCTAGGCGATCGGCAAAATGGCAACGGGCATTCGTTGTTGCTTGGTTGTAGAACGTTTGATACGCCGATTGTTATGGATATACTCGGTTACATTAGTTGTTTATTATTGATACCGAAAGATTACTGATTCACTACTGTTGGTTGTTCCAAACAGCTACTCTGGACGGGAATCTTCCTGAACGATGAATCAGTGAAAAGATCATTACTGTGATCATCGCGTTTGGTGTTAATGAAATGTGGAATCGAATTGGGAAACAAACAGTTCACTTTTATTTGAGCAAAATAATTCGAATACAAAAATCTTTCAGTCCACTGCTTATCGAAATACGTCTTGTGAACATTTCAGCCATAGGAATCTACTTCATTCCAGCAGCCGATAGGCTAGTTTCAGAGAGAGAACCATTCGATTGTTGTTGATCATTTTCTTTACAGCCTTTTGGTTCCAAATCCTGAAGTGGTCATTTCAAGAAACATTACCATTCAATAATCAGAAAAACTCGAGAATCGCACTCCCACTCTGAACATTTATAGAATCCAGATCTGTCCCTTCAGTTAAGATTCTGAAAGATTTTGTTCGGTAAACTCGACGGGGTAAACTGAATCTGTCGATAGGATACATAATAAATGCAATGAACCTGTCGAGAGTTTCCGTCGCGAGCGTTTGTGATTTTCTTCAGTGGTTTGTGCAATGACTCTGGATAGTCTTGTGTGAGCTCATCTTCATCCGGTTGATCTGAAACATTATTTCGATCTTTTCTCTGACAATAAACTCAAATTTCTAATTTATTATATTTGTTACTAAATACATTTATATTAGGTAGCACTGCCATTCCTTGTCAGTAATTGACCGAGAAGAACATTACTGTGCGAGAGAATCTCGGAGCAATAAGTAAGAATAGTTGCCGAGTTTGCGAGAATTTCATTACCGTGCAGACAGCGCGTAATGATACTGTTCTAGTAAAAACTGCATTCGAAGTCATTTATTCGGTTCTATATTCAAGCGGTACGCATCTGCCTTATTTTTGGTATGGACGGCTTTTCGAAGATAACAGTGTTTTTATATGGTGACTTTATCTGGATCGTTTGATAGTTCTTTTTAAGACAATGCAGTTTCATGTGTAATAAGTTGAGTGGATGTACCATCCACTTAAAATGGCCTAATAAAGACTGCGTTCAAATGTTTAACAGATATAAATTCATTTATTATATAATTTAGATTAATTATCGGAACGGTAATCAACAAGAAAACACCTCTGCAGCTATCATCGTCGTACACAAGGAATACATCGCAAACGTTCTCCAACTGAACGCGACATTGCTCTGATGATGACTGTGATTCGACGTTCAACAATGGTGCTTTTAGAGGGTGCTTACGAAAATTTAGTCTGAATCGAGTGAAGATTTAGAATGAACGATTATCCTTGGGCAACATAACTGACTATTCGAATCCAAACATCTTGATATATAGTTCAGGGGAGGAGAGAGAATGTGAAAGAGATTCCGTTCATCGTTTTCATATTCATACTCATTATTTTATTCAGTCTTTCTCAGATAGTAACAAAAGATTTTGCCACGGCGTTTTTATTTAAGAATTTGAGTCAGATGATAAATTCCTAAGCAGTTTGTCAGTTAGTTCCTTGTTCTGGATAGGAACATGATCGTTTTAGGAGACACCATACTGACTCTTTAATAAGATAAGTTTAAATGAATCACCGTTGTTTTGCAGTTGTAAAATTTTCATTCGTTATACTTTTGTCACGCAGGACAAATTTCGGTTTCCACGTTTGTTGTAAATGTCGATACCAAGCCTCACGACCTTGCTCTTCGATCTCAGTGAAATTCACCACTTCGATATTTTTTGATGGCTCTACAAAACACCGTTCCGTAGACCAGAATAAATCACATTAATGAAATGTCCAATCCATACGATGCTCGATACTTGTATACGAGGTAGTAATGATATTGGAGCGATATTTCGTGTTGCTCAGAATCCGACCGACCTGATTTTTCATCATCCCGGCGGTCGGAACTTTGAGCGACTATCGGAACGGTTCG